CCTTGTGCCAGCAGAGACAATTTCCCTGGCCGGGCCAACATGGTAATCTATTGGTGGTCAGGGTGGTCGCAATTGGGCGCGCCTGGGGGCCCCTGCGCATACTCACGGGTCGGTGCAGAACTCGTCCCACCGTTCATCAGGCCCATCGACAACGCGAGAAGATCTAGGTGCAATACGAGGTGTCGAGTTGGTTGGCCTTATGCTGAATGCAGAGAGAATCGACGATGCCATGACTGCGGTCGGAGGTGGGGATGTTGGTGCTCAAAGTTTCGATAATTGCACAAGTAACTTTGGAGTATGCAGAGCCCAAGAATTACAGGGTAAGAAACAGTCTCAAGTTACTCCGTAGAAGGCGCGGCCTGGCAGTTCTGGTTTGGCTGGCTCTTGCCCCCTGGTCCCGGACCTGAACATGTGCAGTCTGCTGGGCCATGCCGAGAATCTGAAACGGCGTACCGAGGACTTTGCCTTGTCGAAGACGGGCCGCACCAGGATGGGTACCAAGTTACTTCAAATTCTGCTGGGGACGACGGTTATGCTGGCCCGGATTGGCCCTCTCGAACGGGCAGAGTGGCGGACTTTGCATCCTCCTTCAACGCCAAAACGCCTCAACTCTCCAAGTGGCGTTTCTTTTGCCCACTTTCCCCTGACGGGATCCCCATGCTACCTCGCCCAACCCTGCTCGACCCTGCTCATCGACCTCGACGACTCACGACGCATTACACGACGCACCGCCGACATGGCTCACCCGAACTGTGGGCTCTTCAAGTGCGGCATCCTTGTCTCTCCCATGCAGCCTCGAGCTCTGTGCTCTATTGCCATGCGCGGTCATTTCAAATCTATTTGCTCGCTCCCCTCCTTTTTGGCCTGGCCTGCGCCGCGGGCAAAGACCCAGGTCCAAGTAGTCTCTTGTCTCCGTATCGTACAAACGGCCCTGCGATTGTGGGCTCCCGTCCAGTCTATGGAGGAAGAGCTCACCTGTTTGGGTCAACTGTGAAGCTCCCATGTCCTGGATGCCCCCCAAATCTAGACAGGCCCGTCCCCAGTCTCTCTCCTCTAGTTTCTACATTCTCCGTGTCTCGCCAGTCCCGCGTGTCTGTCTACCTCACCCTCATCGGCTCTGAAAGAGTCCAGAGACTTTTCCCCCACCCAGGCTGTTCTTTGTTCGTTCTTCATTCTCCTTGTTTGCTCCTTTTTCTTTTCTTCGCGGGTTGACCTCGACCGAGTCCAACAATCGACAAGATTCTACCAATATCAATCATTCCCCGTCGAATGGCTAGTTGCACGCTTCTGATCCCCTCGCCACGTTGAGTGCAAGAGTCATTTCAATAGGGGCGTCGATACTATACGACACACGAGCATTTCATCACGACAACCATTGATCCAAACCGCCCGTGATGGCCCCGTCGTTGAATAATCATTCTTCTTTTACCCGCCCTCGCACTGGCGACCGTGATGGCCGGCCCAGCACGCGCGACCAGGCTGGCGCGGATATGCTTATTCCCAGTCGGACTTCGTCGCTGCACTCTCGCATCACGCAGCCAATTCCCTCGACTTTGAACGTGAAGCCCCAGCAGCGAACACCAAAGACTCTCACTCATGCCTATATGGTGTGCGGCGTCGGTCGCGAACCGTCGCAATGGGTCAAGGCGCCGGCTCCCGCTCAGGGCAAGATTGGCCATATGAAGGGTGCTGTTGGCCAATTTTGGCTCCCCGAGATTCTCGGCAGCAGCCCTCGCCTGGAGCAAGATAATGAGATTGCTCGCGCTCTCCATTCCGCTATGAGGGTTAGTATCGAAAGAAAAACAAGAACCCCATCATTTTGTGTCCACGGAGTGGAAAAAAACTAACACGATAATCGTAGGCTTGCTTTCCGCACGATGTTGAGATTTGCACTGGCAGGAGCCAACCCCACTGCGTTCACCACGCTTTTGTGCTCCAGCAAGACTCTTCTCACACCTTGTACGGCATCTGCCTCCGAGTTTGGTCTCGAGCCGACGAAAAGAGGGCTGAGACCATTCGGGACTTGCGCAAGAGGACCGAGACTGACTTTTACGACAACCCAGACGAGACTTACTGGATCCCTTACTGCTTGTCCTTCTTGTCCCGTTACCCCCTTTACAACCTCTTGGGAGACTATTTGCGAGGCATGTGGATTCACTGGAATAAGGCTACCAACTTGTTTCACGCCGAGGAAGTCTCGCGTATTCTGAGCTTCCCAGCTCCTAGACTGAACGACTTGGTCCGCATTGACATGAAGGACTATGCTCTCTGCTACCAGTTCCCTTCCTCCCCGACTGGGTTCCAGAATTTCTCCATGTGGCCGCTTTTTAACTGTTTGTCCATCCCCAACATTGTTGGCGTTATTGAGGCAGCCATTTCTCCGACTCGACGAATCATTTTTGTGAGCCACTATGCAGCCATGCTCACAATTGCTGCCGAAACAGTGCGGTACTGCGTCCGAGTTTACGAATGGAGCGGGCTTTACGTCCCCGTTGTACACGCCCGCCACGCGCAGGAGCTTGTTCAAGAGCCCGGTCCTTACATCTTGGGTGTGACCGCCGAGTGTCGATCTCTCTTCACTGCCCCTACTGACGCTTTGGTTGTTGACCTCGACCGCAACTTTGTTCTCACATCTAGTCCACCTACTGCGCTTACTCCTGGCCAGCGCAACAAGTTTGTCACTCGCCTGACACAGGCTCTCAACGGCGACGTCACCCCCGCTGGTGTTCCCCACCATCTTCGATCGGCATATGGCGGCGGCAAGCTGGTCCCTGCTGGTCAGATCATTGTCATGCGCGGAGAAGTTGAGTCTATCCAGGACCCTGAGTGGTGGAACCAGGATGCGGTTATGGCTGTCATGGACCATGTCTGTGAGAAGACGGGCCGCAATTCAGGTATCAAGGCCGTATTCGGCGGCTCTGTAAAGAAGCCTCTCATGACGAAAGTTTCAATGAGACATCTCAATGAAATTGTTCGGGAGCGAAATCAGTATTCTCGTGACGCTCTCGAAGCCTGGCAAGATTTCATCAATCTCAAGGGCCGCATGGACACAGAGCTCAGCAAGGTCAACAAGAGAAACAACTATCTTGTCGAGGAGCTCGAGAGCTGGAAACAGCAATTCCTCAAATTCCAGGCCTTTGCTGAACAGCTTACCAAGGAGACACAGGATCTCAAAGTCAAGATTGAGACCCACAAGAGAGAGAATCGCCGTCTAACTGGTCTCATTGACCAACAGAAGGATGATAATGCTCGCATGTCTGTGCGTCTTACCGGCACTGAGAAGCAGCGTGATGATGCTCTTATGGCTCTCGTTCTCCAGCAGGAGATGGCCGAGGATCTTGAGCGCGAGAGACAGAGGAACAAGAAGGAACTTGCCCAGCTCAGCCATACCAACTCCACCCTCGTGCGACAACGTGACGAAGCTCGCCGTGTGGTGATGCATCTGCAGAGTTTGATTGGCGGCCAGAGCCACCACATGGAGCATCTCATTCACTCTCTTACCAAGCCCGATGAGCTGGTTGCCGAGATTGAGGCAGGTTTTGAGAGTGATGAGCAGGAGAGCTCAGATGGTGCGTCTGGCGACGACAGTACGAGCCAACTGAAATCTCCACGAAGCAAGCGCCTCTCTGCGGCTAGCTTTGCTGACGTTGCCGACCGTCACCTCAAGGACAAGACTGATGCCATAGCCCATATTGTGCGCAACATTGCTGACCAGTGCCAGGCCGCTGTGGAGAGCCTGCAGCTGGCCCACGATGCTGAGTATCGATCAAGCCGACGTCACAGCGGCCTGTCCAATGCTCAGAGCGAGGACGGCCATGACGACCGCTCTGTTGCCACCTCAGATAATGGCGAGGAGAGACGCCTCCAGCCTGGACGCACTTCCAGCATCCCTCCTACTCCGGATCTGATCCCCAATCGCAGCAGCACTGCCATGTCCTTTGCTTCGGCTACTACTACACCTGAGCGATCTAGCCAGCAGTACAACTTGAAGGACGAGATCCCCACAAAGATTGTCGAGGACGACGAAGAGGACTATGAGGAGAGCCGCAGTGAGGGCGGCAGCGCCGCCACTAATGAAAACGGCGTTGTGGCCAAGCACACCGAGTCTCTCTTGCATCGCCCATCTGGTGCCAGGATCAGTGCTCTTGGGGCCAGCGGCACTCGGTGAGAAACAGTAGAGCGACCTGCTTGAGGAATGATATGATGAAGGGGGTGGTTATTAGCGCCCAGGAAGAACCTGGCTCCTCAGGATTAATGGGAGCAACGAAGCCGACGACAGGCATACTTCTGCCAATGCTGATTCCTTACGAGGTTGTCAACCGCAATTTGTTTTAACTTATCTGGACGACTGTTGACACGGTGATCCACCTATATCCGCTTGTGTATTGCTGCACTCTGATTTTTCTTCATATTTTTATATCTTCATTTCACATTGACGACACGAAAGTCTGGATATTGGTCACTCCGTCTTGATCCATTTTTAGTTTTTTTTACTTGGATGGAGGTTGTAAAAACTTTTGGTCTTTCCTTGGCGTTTCCCCCCGCAATGCCTGCTTTTTCCCTAGTTTGCTGTCTGACCGTTTGTAATTATCTTCTATATAGCCTGAGGCACTTGGGTCTCCCAAGACAAATACATGTCTGGCTCAACACTGCATGTTGAGCCATGTCATGTATGATGACGTTAGCCTCTCAGCGAGACGCTAAACAATTTATGACAAATTTTTGAATGAAGGCATAGTTTACTGGCCATGTTGTGTACGGCCAAGATCGGTTCATGTACGATGGCGAGGTTTGAGTGTCAAGCCACCGAAATCCGCAGCAGTCCACAATTTCCCTCCTGCTTGACAGGGGTCCGTTGTGGCCCCATGAAGCGACCAGACAGGACAAAAGAAAAAAACCCGAGAGAGAAGCAGACCCCAGAGGCGGAAAGTGGTATCGCAGCGATCACTTCCGGCAAAATTCTCATCTCTTCCTTCATACCTACAAGGCCATCTACAAGCATGGCTGACCCTCTTCTCACATCCCTCTGCTCAATATGCCACGTCTCCCCCCCGAAATACAAATGCCCCCGGTGCAACATTCAGACCTGTTCCCTGCCGTGCACCAAAAAACACAAAGCCTGGTCCGAGTGCAGCGGCCGACGCGATCCGACAACCTATGTCCCACGATCGAAGCTACGCACCGCCGCCGGCGTCGACCATGACTACAACTTTCTCCATGCCATTGAGGTGTCTGTGGAGCGCTCCGAGAAGCTCCTCATTGAGGAAAAAGGCCTCGTGCAGCAGGCGGAGCTGCGGCCATTGACGATGCAACAAGTTCGATGGAAGACGGGGCGTGATGGGAGGAAGAGAAAAGTGCTGGTGACGAGAGTTTTGAGAGAGGCCAAGGGGAGAACATTTGAAAAGGGACTGGCACAGAGACTAAAGAGATTGAACGTGCAGATTGTTTGTGCGCCGCTGGGAATGGCCAGGCAAAGGGAAAATTCTACCACGCTAAACCGGAGGACGGGGAGGATTAATTGGCAGGTTGAGTGGCTGGTGGTCGGGGGAGAGAAGGAGACTGTGAGGTCATTAAGCAAGGTTATGGATGACGTTCCGCTCTTTCAAGCATACTCGGCAATATTGGAGGAAAAGGTTCGTGCAGAGACGGGCTCGCGAAAGCAGCGGGCCTGGGAGGTGCAGAGCTGGACTGATTCAAGGTGGAATCTTGGCTTGGATTGTATGCAAGATCCTGTGGATGGGAAATGGACGTCATTTCCTGGGGGGCGCATCGAGGACTGGCCTGCAGAGAAGGAGAAGGTCCAACGACAGCAATTTCGGTTTTTCCTCGCGGGACCTCTCACACGGTCCGATATGCCTACACAAGTCACGGCGCTGGAGGCTGGGGACTGCCTTCGCGATATTCTGGCTAACACCCGAGTCTTGGAGTTTCCTACTATCTACGTCCTCAAGCATGGGGACACGCTTCCTCCGAGATTCGTCTTAGGACCAAAGGACTCGATCCCATCACAGACCCAAGGAAAAAAACGGAAGGATGGGCCATCAAACAAGAAATTTCAGGCATCATCAAAGCGTAGGAAACAGGGTAGAATGGACCGCGAAGAAGGGGAAGTGGGCACAGATGAGGACGGAGAAGATGGTTTGGACGGAGAGACTGGGTCTAAGGGAGTCAGTTTGGAGGCTGCTGAGGTTATAGCTGAGCAGAGCTTGGGAGAGGAGGATGGCGACGACGACGACACGAGCAGCTCTGGGTCGGATAGTGAGTCCGACTGATGCCGTGTTGCAGCTTGAGAGGGAGAAACAAAAGTTTGAAGTTGTTCATGATACCCGGGATATGTGGGCTGTAGACTAGGCTGGTGCATCGCATCACGGACTACCCAGGCAATTGACTGAATACGCGGCGCTCAGAATACCTGGTGTACTACTCCGTACTAGGTAGCTTTTGTATTATTGATGGGCGGTTGCCCACTTTGAGGGCGAGATGCCTGGAGATGATCCCAGCAAGCAGACCCAGCTGCAGGCGCTTGACACGTGCCCCACTGGCGATGCTTTGGTGTGGGGGCGGGCGGCGTAACACCAACGGCCTCCTGGCTCTTGTCCCAACGACATAGCATCCGACAATACTACGCAACCCCCGGCGACTACGCGCCGGCCTCGCGCCCAACTTGCGATAAGTCACATTGTTGGAAGAGACGCTCTGGCAGAGACTTTCTCCTACCATGATATGATCGCATAGACCCAGCTTGTCCGCTTACCCCGCCCACAATGGATGACGGCCCCGTGCCCAAGCTGTCCGAACTGCTGCGGCATCCGGACGACCTCGATAAGATCCCCGCGCTGAAGCTGGAATTCTCGCGTAAGAAGGGAGCCGTTGACGGCCAACTACGGAATGGTCTCCGCGAACAGCTCGAAACCACCCAATCGGGCATGACGGGCCTGAGCGACGGCCAAAAGACGGTCCAGCTCATCAAGGAAGAAATGATGAAGATTGACCGCCTCTGTTCCGAATCCCAAAACATGATCAAGGACTTTGCCAGCATAAACCTGGTGTCCCAAGCCCACAGAAACTTTGTTGCCGTCGAAACAATGAGACGCGACCTGGAGACCTTCAACGATCGGCTGACGGTCGTGGAGAAAATGCTGCGACAGGACGATGAGGACCAGGAGAACATGCCGAATTTGCTGCCGTGCCATTACGAGCTGACGCAGCTGAGAAACATTCGAGACGATGCCATGGAGCAGATACATAGGGCGGAAGATCCTGGGCTGGAGTCGACGCTGGAGGACTACTTTGCCAGGCTGGACGACACGATTGACTGGTTTGACGAGCACCTCGGTCTCTTGGCAATGAACCTGATCAACCTTGTTCTCAATGGCAAGGGTGGGCTCGTGGTCCGGTTCGCCGCCGTCATGGAGGCCGAAGAGAAGAGCGACCAGCGCGTCCTGGCCCTGCAAGAAGCGCTCAAGGACCACGAAGAAATGGCAGCCCGGTTCCAGAGCATCACAGATGGCGCCAAGAAGGTCCGCGGCTACAAGGACAAGTTTCTGCAGGCCATCAGGCTCGACGCCGAGCAGCAACTCGAGCAGTCCCGCGAAGAGTTCCTAGACGATGCCTCGAAGCTCGAAAAGATCATGGGGTGGTACTTCAACGACCTCAACGTCGTGCGGGCCGGCTTGACGCCCCTCATGCCCAAGAAGTGGAAGATTGGCAAAATGTACGCCGACATATACCACCAGCTCATGCACGACTTCCTCATCGGCATGATCGAAGATCCGGAAAGCACATCTGCCCACAAGCTCGAAATCATCAGCTTCCCTGAGAAGTACTACAAAAAGATGGCCAAGATGGGATACAGCCAGGAAGACCTCACCCCCCACGTCATTGACAACCGCGAGGGCGAGCTCGTCCGCGACTTCCGCCAGCTCATCATCAAGTTCCTCGACGAGTGGATGGACCGCATCTTCAACCAGGAAAAGAAGGACTTTGCGGAGCGCAACGTCGAGGGCTCCAACCTCGACCAAGATGAGTACGGCTACTTCCGCACCAAGAACCTCATCGCCCTCTGGCGCATGCTCCGCGAGCAGATCGACGCGGGCGCCAACTCGAAGCGCTCCGACGTGATAGAGGGCGTCATCGACGCCATGTTCCTCCGCCTGCGCACCCGCCAGCAGTCGTGGCAGCGCATGCTCGAGGACGAGGCGTCGCGCTACGAGACCGGCAAGGTCCCCGAGCTGGAGGGCTTCCAGGCCCTCCAGGACTGGCTCATCGCCACGGCAAACGACCAGATCGCCTGCATCGACGACAACGACGAGGAGTCGCGCCTGGGCTACCTCTCGTCCTTCCGGGCAAACTTTGAGCCCCACGTCACGCCGCAGTATCTCGAGCGCGGCGAGTCGGAGCTGAGTGCTCTGCGCGACTCGTACGTCGACTTCTCGACCTGGTGCATCACCAAGTTTGCGCACCTCATCTTCGCCGTCGACTTCCGCGCCGTCATGCCCGACTTCTTCACGCCCAAGTGGTACGCCAACACGGCCATGAAGCAAATGGTGGTCACCTTTGAGGAGTACGTCAGCGACTACCGCCAGGTCCTGCACCACTCCCTCGTCGACATCTTCATCGAGATCTTTGCCGACGAGCTGCTGGTCCGCTACCTGCTCTCCGTGCGCAACAAGGGCGCCAAGTTTCGCCGCGCGGACCCCTTCCGCGACAAGCTCTTCAACGACATCTCCACCGCCTTTGAGTACTTCAGCAACCTGCCCAACCCGGACGTCGGCAGCTCGATCAAGCAGACGTGGAGGGTCACGGAGCCCTTCCTCGGCCTGCTGACCTGCGACAAGGATGCCGTGGCGGACCAGTTTGCCGCGTTCAAGGCGGCCTATTGGGACCTGCACATCTCGTGGGTCGAGGCCGTCTTGAGGTCGAGGGATGATTTCGAGAGGAGCATGCTGAATGCCGTCAAGGCGAGGGCGGCGCAGATAGACGTTGTAAGGGGGCCCGAGACAATCATGAGCAAGGTCAAGTAGAGACGATGGATGCGTGACGCAACGGCGCCAGACTTGAGGCGTCGCTGGTTCTTGTCATGGGTAGAGGAGGATGACGAAGAAGAAAATGCCAGACATTGACGACACAAAGGGTTGCTGCTTCCATGTACGATTAGTCGCATTTAGAAGAATTCACTGTTCAAACAAGACACCGAGACGGAATGCTGTGAGACTGCTGATTCTATCAAGAGAATGCGTTGGCTAGCGTACAGTGGACACCAATCTTTCCTTCGAAACATTGCCAAGTCCAGGTAATTAAAAAGAAATATGTTCTCCTATCCATCCATTCGGACGTATTGTCCCGCCCTTGCTATTCGGCCCCCTCTGTCGCTTTAGGAACAAAAGAAAGAACATGGGGCAGGACCCCTCAGACGTCACCTCACAAATGCTGTGGTTCGTAATATCCCCTTCTTTGGTTGGAGGCGGTTATAGCCTTGTTAGTGCTATGCAGGCTGGTGGCTTCTATGACTTGCTCGCAAGATAGTTGGCAGCCTGACGAAAAAAAAAAAAAATCACTGGTTAGCAAGTTACCCTACTCAAGGAAATCGCGGGAACAAATACCTTTTCCAAATTGTAGTCGTACTTTTCTAGAGCAGCCACCGCATCTGAACGAGAATAACCCATGTCGGTGAGACTCTTCAAGATCGGATCATCATGTACTCCCTGCTCGGTAAGGGCTCGACCAGGAGGCCCTGGACGTTCAGCGTGCTTGTCACCACCGCCCTCCCCACCAGGGCCAGGGGGGTTGAGATTACTAGGCGAGTCCAGGCCAGCAAAGATGGCGTCCCAGTCATGAGAGTCAGCAGTCTTCTGCTGGGTAGTACTACCGGCTGCAGAGCTGTGAGACACAAAGTCGAACGTGCTTTCATTGCCAAATGCCGTGGACTCACTCTTGGCTTGGCTGGCGGGTGGGCTGCTATCAAACACGGGATTGAAGTCGTCCCGAGAAATGTTGGCAAAGTCATCATCTGCAGACCCTTCTTTGGCGTCTTCTAAGCCCTCAAAGTCGTCATCCAGATCATCAAAAACGGTTTTCCCAGTCGTCTTTTGGGGCACGGCAGTCGGAGCAGCTGTTCCAAAGATGTCATCAGCAGTCAAAGTCGGCTGGGTCGTATTGGTGACGGTGGCAGGTGACGATGGCTGTTCGGAACTGAGACCTGAAGTTAGTGACTGGTTGACCCCCTTCTTTCAGGTTGCTTAGGACAACGACGATTCCTCACCTTTTATTGGTATCCTCCACAGGTTCCTTGGCGGGGATTTCTGGGCCGGCATTTACAGGTGTTTCCGCGGCGGTCTTCTTGGCCTCCGTAGCGGCCGCATCCTTCTTATTGATGCCCTTGTTTGGAGGCGAAGCAGCAGTGAAGTCATCGTCGAAACCACCTCGCTCACTTTCCGACTCAGACTCATCGGCGCGCTCCAACTCGGAAATAGGCGGGAACTCGGTGTTAAAAGCGTCGGTGGATTTGTCGACATTCGACTCACCAGCGGCCTTGCCCTTGCCGGAGGCAGCAAAAGCGGCAAAAGCATTGTCGAAATCTGCCTTGGCCTTTGCCTGATCGGTGCTGCTAAAAGGGTCTGGCTTCGGCGCCGAGTCGGTGGATTCATCGGCCTTGGCCTTCAATGCTGCTTCCGTGACCGACACAGTCGGAGCCTCAGCGGCAGTAGGAGTTGCTCCTTGCGTCTCACTCTTCTCGCCCTCTTCGGCGGCTGACTCACCATGGCTGTCAACAGAGAGGCCTTCGGCTCGCGAAGCAGGTGGCGAGACCTGGCGAGACGAAGAGAGAGATTCGGAGTGGTCGGGGAACGGCAAGAAGCTGGAGTTGATTTGCCTTGATGCGGGTGGCGCAGGAGGCTCCATGTTCATCGTACCCTGACGGCTAACGCTGGGACTGGAGCGGCCGGTATGAAAAGACGCTCCGCTGGCCGCGGAAGTTCCAGTATGTTGCTGCTGAAAGGCAGGTGGAGGGGGAGTGCTCGTGCTGGTCCCAGGTCCGAATGACGGACCAAATACTTCATCAAGCGATTTGTCGGCATATGGTTTCGTCGAAGGGGACGCAAAGGCACCCATAACGTCGGTGCTTGCCGTTCGCTTGAAGAAGGGGTTGTTATCGCTGACAGTCGACAAGGCCGGGCTCGCAACCTGTGCAGATGCCGAGGTAGGTGAGTTGCTGTCCATCTGCCTAGCAGCATCTTCTCCTCCCTTGGCCAGCTCGGCAGCTTCGTTCTTAAGC